TGTCTAGCAGCTCCTAGTAAGTCTGAGGTCCTGATAAAACACTCTTCATGCACTACTTTCCTTTTATTATCTCACTTTCCATCTCCCATAGTTCCTGTAGATGTATTTCTTTTTGATTTTTAAAAAATTTATTTATTTACTTGAAAAGAAGAGTGATGGGGCCAGCTCTGTGGTGTAGCAGCTAAAGCCACAGCCTGCAGTGCCAGCATCCAATGTGGGTGCAGGTTCAAGTCCCAGCTTCTCCACTTTTGATTCATCTCACTACTAATGTGCCTGGGAAAGCAGCAGAAGACACCCAAGTGCTTGGGCTCCTGCACCCACATGGGAGACCCAGATGAAACTCCTGGCTCCTGGCCAGATTGGCCTAGCCCTGACCACTGGTGCAGCTATTTGAGGAGTGAACCAATGGATGGAAGATCTCTCTCTATATATATCTATCTCTCCCCCCTTTGTCTCTCTCTGAGTTACTCTACCTTTCAAATAAATATATGAATCTTTCTTAAAGAAGAGTGATAGAAAGTGAAAGAAGAAAGGAGATCTTTCATCTGCTGGTGCACTCCTCAAATGCCCTCAACCATCAGGGTGGGACAAGCCAAAGCCAGGAGCCAGAAACTCCATCTAGGTTTCCCACAAGGGTGGCAGGATCTAAGCCCTTGAACCATCATCTGCTACCTTCCCAGGCATATTGGCAGGGAGATGGATTAGAAGTAGAGGTGAACTTGATCCCAGACACTCCATTATGGGTTGTGGGCATCCCAAGCCATGGCTTAACCCACTTAGCCACAGCACCACTCCAACTCTGCTTCTTATACTCCCCTAAAAGAAACTATTTGCCATGGAACTGTGGTGGACTCTACTTTAGCAGAGGAGCAAGCACAATTAAGATTCTCAATAGAGCACCCTGACACTGCATCTTGAACCAGAGTATATCCTATGGTAGTTTTGGGTCCTGTCTCTGTGGAAACAGAACCTACCACAACACAGCAGACTACTCCTCAGCCCAAGAGGTACACCCTATCTCTCTCTCTTTCTCTGTCCCTCTCTCTCTCTTTCTCCATACACACACACACACACACACACACACACACACACACACATTTGTCCACCATATAGAGAATCTCTCCAAGATGAAGGAAAAGTTTTTTTCTGGAGTTCTGATCTTTCCAAAGCAGAGCAGAATCAACCTAACTCTTCTTTCTTTGTGACCCATCAATGCTATACAGATGGAGCACAGACTGGCATTGCCTTCTGGTTTCCAAAATATACCATGCATCCCATTGCTCTGCCTATATCTCTATGCTCAGTGTCGAAAGTCTTTCCAAAGCGTAGTCCAAATCATGTTACCTATCATATTTAGAACAGATAATATCAGTTCAACCTTGTTTCCTTTGGCCCTTAGAGGCTCCCTTGGCCCTAAAAATAAGGCTGTACATTTTGACTGTGCTCTGCAGGACCCACAATGACAGATTCCTCAAGCCCTTTTTCTCTCCCTTTCTTCCTTACTCTGACTTCTTCAAACATGGCAATATGTCCCACTGCAGGATTTTACATTGGCTGTTCCCTCTGTCTAGGACACTGCTCCTGCAGAGTGCATGAGTCGATTATACAATTTTTCTTTACAAATACAGTAAAGCTATCTCCACCTCAGACAAGTAGGAGAAGTCCAGTGTCCATTCAACTCATTAACCCTTATGCTAATGATTTCTCCTAGCACTCAACACCAACTGAAAAGACATGTGTGTTTTGCTAAGTTTGTTGGCCTTCCCAAAGTAATCACCACTGTTATGTTAATAATACCATGTGCTTAACACACAGAAAGTGCTCAATTAGTATTCATTCATCACACTGAATTAGCATATATGGTGTTAAACGTTAAGGACAACTCAAAAATAATTTGTCAAATATCCTTACCAGAATAATCATTTTATATGTATCCTAACTTTTACAATATTATATATTTGCTCTTTCATTTCTTCTAAAAATTCATTTCTTCTTAAAGCACTGGCTGCTTACTTTCTTTCCCAAGATATATTTTCTATTTTCCAAATTATTTTTTTTTCTTCTTGGCAATTCAGTCCAAGTCAGAAGAATGTCAATAAAAACTTGAAATGAACTGATTGGTAGATTAATAAAGAATAGAATGTGTACCTCAAAGTAGACTGCAAGAATCTATGCTCATTCATTCATTTGATGGGTACTAATTAAGCACATACTATATCCAAGAAACTATTTTATATATACCAAGGATATATTAGGGATTGAGATACTTAAATATCCATAGCCTCAAAGAATCTATATTTTGGCAAGTGAGCCATGCAGTATGATATAGACATGATAAATATGTACAATACACTATTTAGTACTTTTGAAAGATACATTAAGCTGGTCAGGGGAAGCTTCACTGAGAAGTACATTTCTGTGCAAAACTTGAATCAGTGAATCTGAAGCCATGCACACACATGTGGGAAGAGCACTCCAGGAAGAGAGTGGCGTGGGGAGAGTCCCTGAGGTAGGAATATCCCCAGTTTTGCTTTAGAGAGCAGACGAGAGGTCACTAAACAAGTGTGAAGAGGGGAGGAAGGTGGAGCCAGGAGAGAATCAGGAAAACAGGTGATGTAGGTCCCTGGAATCAATGACAGAACTTTGACTTACACATTTCCTGAAAAGTATTAAAAGACGATAAGTAACAGAGTTCTTGCTAACCCATTTCACTCGAAAGTACTTCCTGCTTGTTACATTTTTAAAAAGCTACTCTATTTTTTTTAAAAAAAGTATTAGTCTTCAATGAAGTGACTGCTTTTTTTGTTCTTAAAAAGTTTTGTGGGTTTTTTTTTTTATTTGAGAGGCAGGGAGATGCAGAAGGAGAAATGAATAGGTAGACAGGGAATGAAAACTCCCATCCCCTGGTTCACTTCCCAAAAGCCCAGAACCCCCAGGGCTGGGCTGAGGCTGAAGCTGGGAGCCAAGAACTGAATCCAGGACTCCCACATGGGTGGCAGTCACCCAATTACTTGAGCTATCATTGCTTCTTGCCAGGTTCTGCATTAGCAGAAAGCTGGCATCGGGAGCCTGAGATGGGTATGGAGCCCAGACATTCCTTTTTGGGATGTTGTCAAACACCTGTCCATATGTTTTTCTTACTTATACAGTAAAAAATACTTTACTGATAGCAAATGCAAACAAAAAAGAAACGATAATTTATAAAAGAGTAGAAGTTTAATAAACTGGCTGTCTAATTTTTTTTATTGTAACGGCTTTATTGAGAACTGTTCATATATCATCAATTCATCCAGTTAAATGCACATTTTGATGGCTTTTAGTATAGTAACAGAGATGTGAAACCATCATCATGATCAATTTTAGAATCTTTTCATCAAGTACCTTATACCCCTTAGACACCCCTTGTTTCTCCTCAACCCTCCCTCCAAATCCCTAGGCAAAAACTAATCTACTTTCTTTTTCTATGGATTTATCTTTTCTAGACACTTCTTAGAAATGGAATGGCTGGCTTCACCACTTACGTGGTGCTTTCAAGATCATACAGGTGTCAGTGCTTCATGTCTTTCCATAGCTGAATAATGTTCCATTTATGGATATACCACAACTTAGTTATCCATTCAACACTGGATGAGCATTTTCAATATTTTGGCTATTATGCATAACATTGCTATATATAGTCATGTGCAAGTTTTCATGTGGACATAATTTTCATTTGTCTTGATTGTGTATCTAAGAGTAAAATATATTGGCTCTTAAAACCTAAAACAAGAGACTAATAATATTGTTAAGACTAAATGAGAGTAACTCTCCAATCAGGGTTGGTGAATGAATTATAATGAACTATAAAGCCATTGATAAGAATGACAGAAAAAAAGTCTCAGATTAGGAGAATTCTTCAAAAATTAATCCAAACACCAAAGCCAATATGCCTTCTAGAAGTAGACAACATTTATGCAAAGTTGTAGAACATTGAAAAAAAATGTATTAAATACAGAGTATCTGTGTGTGTGTGTGTGAGTGTAAGAGAGAGAGAGAGTGTGTGTGTGTATTTTCCATCATGGAGCTAAAGCAGAGAGAGGGTGGGGGGAGAGAGAGAATGTTGAAACAGTTATCTTGGCCTCTAAACCATGCTGCTTTGTTAAGAATAAGTCCACAGGGAAGCAGATCTCATGGATGGGGCGGGGACTGAGACAGCAGCAGTGACCAATACTACCACAGCCACATGACCAGACGAGCAATGGCCACCACTGGGAAAAGGCACACATTGGAACATTTTCCCCATGAAGGGAGTGTTGCATTTATCAAGTCATAAACATGCCCAGGTGCCCCTTTGTGGTGGGTACTAGAAGGTACAAGGGACAATGAGGCTTCAGGAACTTACAACATAGTTAGGAGAAAAATTTAGAATAGGTTAAAGCCCGGCGATGTTTAGAATTATTTGTGAAATGTGAAGCAATTTTTCTGAAGGGCACAGTGCCAACACCCAACTTGTTCTTCAAAGCATAATTCACCCTGTCCTAAAATTGCATCTTTCCTCAAAACCTCCCAAGGCCCTGGGGTTTCCCACCAGCAGGAACCCTCAGAGAGTGGGTGGACTGACACCCAGGGTGGGAACTGAGGAGGTGAGAGGACCTTGACCACAAAAGTCTGACTGTCCTGTTGAGTCAGCCTACAGTGCGTGTGTGGTGAGAGTTGAGGTGTGACCTCCAGCTTGGGTCTGACTCAAGGGGCTGAGCGCCCTCTGCATAGCTTGAGGCAGTGGGAGCCTTGCCCCAATTCAGCCACTTGGAGGCAGGGGCAGTGGTGGCTGCTGGCTCTGGAGCAGGAAGGTGGGGCTTGGGAGGAGCCTGGGGACAGCTGGTGTTGATCAGTTCCAGCCCCAGCAAGACCAGAGACCCCTTTTCTCTCACCTCTACCTGCCAGTTCCCCTGCCCTCTGCTTGGTGCACTTCCAAGACACAACCATCTCTCAAAGTAGACAAAGCACCCTTCTCTGGTTACCTGCTGAAGCGTGGCTTGTGCACTCTCAAAAGTTGGACAAGGACTTGAAGTGCTAAAGTCTTCTCTTCATTGTGTCCTGTAATCAAATCAGAGGGTCTGAGACATGGGTCACATTGTCCTTGTGATAAAACTTTCTACAGAGCACCACTTAAACTGGTCACATGCATCTGAATTTCTTTGTCCCCAGAAAGCTTTCATGGAGGAGAAGAAATGCATGGTCTTTCAAAAATGGTTTCCACTATAGGTGGTGAATTTTGAGAACTAGCTGAAGTCTTACATATCATCAGATATGATCTTCTGATGTTCAAGATAAATAAAATTGAGGCTCAGGAGAGTGAAAATATCTTGAACAAGGTCGCAGAGATAGGAGGCAATGGAGCCGGGCTTAGAACTCTAGTCACTACCTCCAAATCAATATCCTGTCCATCACACCACAGTCCATCGAGATGCTAGATCAAAAGAAGACTTCTTCAAAAATATTTGCCCTGGGTTTCCAAGGTTGCCTCATTCTTGCTATAGTGTTCTCACTGCAGCCTTTGCCAGAGCATGAGGTAGCTAAGAATCACAATGACCACATTCTGTAGTTAAGTCGGATGGCTTTTTCTGAAGTTTGCTTGACTCATCCATATAATGTTGGAGAAGAAAAGTCTCCCTCTCAGGAATATGGGTAACAATAGGCACCTTCCTCACATCTTCATGTGGCAACAGTAAATCGGGGATAATGTCTTTGTAAACAAGTATAAAACCAGCCATGTTTTATATTCTAAGCATGTCCAAAAGGGTGCTTGTGCACACTGGTCAACTGGTCACCAAGACAAAAAACCTGGGGTAGGCATTTGGCACAGTGGCTAAGACTGCAGGATGCCTGCATCCCATATTAAATTGTTTGGCTCTGAGTCCCAGACCTGCTTCTGATTCCAGTTGTATGCTAATGTGAACCCTGAGAGACATCAGGTGGTTGCTCAAGTACTTGGGTCCCATCCACCTACAGGGAAATCCTTTGATTGTATTCTGGGCTCCCAGTTTTGCCCCAGCCCAGCCCCATCTTTTGCAGGCATCTGAGGGTTAAACCAGTGCATTGGAGATTCTCTCTCTCTCTCTCTCTCTCTCTCTCTCTCTCCCCCTCCCAAATTCCCTCCCTTTCAGATAAATACATTCATTAATTTTTTTAAAAGTCACGAAAACACTAATTAGTGTAATTTGCTGATTTCTGTGATGTACATTCTCCTACTGTGGCTCATTTCAACTGATAACTGGCATCCCTGGATGAGGAGCTTGGAAAAGCTGTGCAGCAGCACATCATCATGTAACATTTCCAACATGCGGATATAACTGACATAAACAAACTCAAGGGCATGGATAATGAATAATAGTCAAGGTAGTAAAATAATTAAGACATGAGTTTGAGGTATTTACATCTTTGTCTTTAATGTAACTTAGTTTATTGTAAATTTACAAATTTAGGTTTTAATAACAGTGATACAACCAGCTTACAAAGCAATCCTATTGGCCAGCGCCATGGCTCACTAGGCTAATCCTCCGCCTTGTGGCACTGGCACACCGGGTTGTAGTCCCGGTCGGGGCGCTGGGTTCTGTCCCGGTTGCCCCTCTTCCAGGCCAGCTCTCTGCTGTGGCCAGGGAGTGCAGTGGAGGATGGCCCAAGTACTTGGGCCCTGCACCCCATGGGAGACCAGGAGAAGTACCTGGCTCCTGCCATCGGATCAGCGCGGTGCGCCTGCCGCAGCGCACCAGCCGCGGTGGCCATTGGAGGGTGAACCAATGGCAAAGGAAGACCTTTCTCTCTGTCTCTCTCTCTCTCACTGTCCACTCTGCCTGTCAAAAAATTAAAAAAAAAAAAGCAATCCTGAAATTTTAGCAATGGACTCATACAAGCAGAGACAGGCAGATTTCAGCACTGCAAAAATCAGCTGTCCCAGACTTCATTGATTTTATTAAGGGGCCTGAAGTGCTGCCCACATGGGAATAAGGTAAACACTAGTATAAATAAATAAAGGATTCTTGACCTCTCTGTGTTTATTCTTAAGCTTTCTGGCTCCTATCCTGTTGTGCCCTGAAAATGAATGCAAAAAAAAAAAAATACACAGAAAAACTGGTTGTAAGCACAGTCCATTTCATTCTTTTCATCCAGTATGGTAATTTACATGCCATACTTCATCTCCAAGTGTGACAGCAAGATGTAGATATGATATTTTCTCTTGTGATTAAGTCATCAATTTGGGAAGGCATATTATACCATGCTAAAAACTCTACGCAGATTGCCTTGTGTGCTCAAAACTGCAAATTCTCATTTTACTGAACAGGAGATCCAGGCTTCACTGGTTTAATCAATTTGCTCAAATTATAGTTGTTAAAAAAGAGAGCTAGAACTTTAGTCCAGGATTGACTGATTCTGGAGCCTGGATTTAATTAAAACTAAAGAGTGTTTAAAGAGACTGAGTGTAAACAGTAGCCCAAAAACCTCTCATAAGGACTGAAGAAAAAGGGGTTGTAGAAATTGCTGTTGATGAGCGTTGGAACCTAAGGCATTTTGCAGTCAAAGCTGGCATTAAAGTAGGATAGACCTAGGAAGCTGTAATTTAAGTGACTAAGGAACATGCGGGAGTATATCAGTTATCTATGGTTACAGTCCTGCTGGGTAATAAGCACAAAACCTCAGTGGGATACCACAATAGTTGCTGAAGTTTACACCTTGTATCAGCTACAGGCAGGTTAGACTGCAGTGATCCAGCCTGGAATTGCTCCCCTGTGTGGAGTTAAGCTGGCTGAACCTATGTTGACTCTAGCTAGAACGATGAGGGCGACTTGGCTCTGTTTTAGGTATTTCTTATCCTCCAGCAGGCTAATCGGGGCATGTTCTCATGCTTCCTCAGGCTTGCAGCTGGCATAAGATCACTTGTACCTCTTTCTGTTTGGCCATTGCAAATTATGAAGGTAGCCTATTTTTCAAGAAGTGATAAAACAGACTCCACCTCTTTTGAGAGAGAGACTGCAAAGTCATGTAGTGAGGGGTGTAAAAAATGGACAAAAGGCTTAGTAGTATGAATGCAATGAGTTAATTGGGAGGTGAGCAGGGTGGTCATTGGTGAACATGGAGTGATCACCTCCTGGTCTCATTCACTGTCAACTTCACACTCTACTCCCTGATACTCACTTTTAACTATGCTCTGACTGGTCCTGAGCCAGCACTATAATGTTTTGGAAGGAGCTGTGAACCTTTGAGTTGGCCCAGATCACACCCTTGCTAATTGGATGTATAGGTCATTGATCCTAAGCTGAAGCCTTGAACTCTACTGCTCTGCCTGCACAAGCATTGCAGGTATTTGCTGCTCACAACATGTATTCATTTCCCAATGAAGACTCTAACTGAATGTATGGAAGGGGGTGTGAGTAGAATTACATGCTTGAATTCTTCATTCTGTTTTGTGAATAACCCTTTCTTTCTTGCTTTCCCATGTCACATATTCGTATCTAGGAACTACATCAAAAAGCTTCAATGCCCACTGGCTTCCAGCTGGGATTACTAAAGGGAAAGACCCAGGAGACCTAAGGGGAGGAGGAGAATGAGGTCAGGGCATTTATGCCCCTGGTTCTTTCCCTGTGAGGTCACCTTGGCTTTCTGAGCCTGTTGACCTGACCTACATGACTCAGTCTTGCTCCCCTCCCAGGTCCTGGAAATCATTCACTCCCCTCATTCCTTTGGACCTAAAGATGTCAATGCCCAAGGTTCCCTGCAGTATCCCTTATTGTTCTTTTAGCATTCTACCTATATTTCTGTAGCTAATCCTCTTATCAATCAACCTTCTCTATTTCATCCTGATTTGCATGTGCCTTCATCTTCCTATAAGAATTCTGCCAGATGTGTTCATGCATGTATAGAAAATAGCCAACCCCTCCGTATGAGAAAAGAGCTAAGGACTCATCCTATCATTGTGTCCTACTCAAAATCCAGAATATCCCTGTGACAGTATTGTGTTACCATGTCATACGTGGCTTCTCTTCATCCTGAAATGTTTGTGCTATAAACATAATTTCTGTACACTTCCCATAATAATGGTGGAAGAGGAACAAAATGAACCCCCACACACACACACAGAGAGAGAGACACAGACACACACATTAAAATAGGAATAATGGAAAACACATAGTAGCCATTTGTGCTTTCTGAACAGACTTTTAAAGATCTGAGGATGTAGAATGTTATTTTATTAGATTCTGATCCTATTCTCTGGAAGCAGACCTCTTGCCCATTGTTCTCCATTGTCCCTGGGTCTCCTTTCCAGGATAATTCTCCTTTGTCCATAACATCCCTTGGTTACATTAATTGGGCATTGGGAATATTCTCTCCTCTGCACTACTTTCTCAGTGCACTGCAGGGTTGGAAGACCAAGTGTTGTTTGAAACCTCAGTAGTCACAGATGTTTTCTGATGGGAGTTATAGCTTCTTGGGTGTAACATTTTCTCAAAAACTCACCAGGCTTCCCTCCAATTCGTTTTCAGTAAGTTCCGTATATCAATAAACACACTGGTATTTCCTTTCTATAAGATGCTTGTTTCCTCATCTCAGCATATGCACCATGCTTTTAATTTAGTGAAAGCTACTTAGAGGCTTTTGGCTTTAGTAATTACATCACATAAACAACAACAATAAACAAAAAACTTTGAAACTTTGCTGTGAAAAGTTTTATTGACAAAGCATGGTGGGAAGAATCACTATGTTCCTAAAACTGTAAATATGTAATGCATGGAATTTGTAGACCTTAAATAATTTTTTTAAATAAAAAAGGAAGCCCTTTAAAAATCCCAAAGTCTGTCTTGCGGGTCTCATATCAGCTCTTCCCACATTTCTGCACTACCTCCATTCCCCACTCTGTTCTTCTATTTACTTGTCAATTCTATCAGAAATCACTCCCTTTCAGATCTGTGATTCCTTGTCAAATCTATCTAAGAGAAAACCAAGAGCAATGCTAAAGTTCTGGAACACTTCCCTGAGAGTTTCTGGTTCAGAACCCACATTATCTGATATTTAGTAAACTTCCTCAGATGTCAATTTTACCA